CCTGGTCATTGGCCCAGAGACACCCAGCTCCCTTTCATGCCTAAGGAGGAACTAGAACTCCCAATCTCCTGGTCATTGGCCCAAAAACACCCAGCTGCATTTCATGCCTAAGGAGGGACTAGAACTCCCAATCTCCTGGTCATTGGCTCAAACACACCCAGCTCCCTTTCATGCCTAAGGAGGAACTAGAACTCCCAATCTCCTGGTCATTGGTTCAAACACACCCAGCTCCCTTTCATGCCTAAGGAGGAACTAGAACTCCCATCTCCTGGTCATTGGCCCAGAGACACCCAGCTGGCTTTCATGCCTAAGGAGGAACTAGAACTCCCAATCTCCTGGTCATTGGCTCAAACACACCCAGCTCCCTTTCATGCCTAAGGAGGAACTAGAACTCCCAATCTGTTGATTGGTCCAAAGACACCCAGCTAGCTTTCATGCCTAAGAAGGAACTAGAACTCCCAATCTCCTGGTCTTTGGCCCAAAGACACCCAGCTGGCTTTCATGCATTTCATGCCTAAGGAGGAACTAGAACTCCCAATCTCCTGGCCCAGAGACACCCAGCTGCCTTTCATGCCTAAGGAGGAACTAGAACTCACCCTCTCCTGGTTTCTAGCCTTGGTCTCAACCACTAGACCCAACTAGTCTACCTACATATCTGACCCTCTCTCGGCCATCGTATGGGGAGATAGGCAGGGAATGGATTTAAGAAGCCGGTGACGTCTGCGGGCTCCCCCCTTTCTCTTCCAGAGGCCAGGGGACGGCTGCTCAGAAGCTTTCGTCCGGGCTGCTCCATTTTTTTGCTGGAACCGCTGGAGACGGCGGAGACCAAGTTCATTCTCAGCCACTCGGAGTTCGCCCAGATCTTCAGAGCGAAAGTGAGTCCCGTGGCTGCCTAAAGCAGCATTTGGCCCTTAGCAGCCCACCATTGAAACCATCGCCGGGTTTTTTTAGCGATTTTCGAATGGTCGCTTGAAACGAAGACCACTGAACAATTTAAAGAAGCTTCTTGGATGGGAGGCAAGGCGTTTTCTAAAAAGGAGAAGAAGAAAGTTCAGTTGCCTTTTGGGAAGAAAACACCTTTGGTTTTTATATATGCGGCTGTGGAAATTGATAAATAAATGAATGGAGAAAGGGAGAGGAAAGAAAGAAAGGAAAGAGAGAGAAAGAAAAGGAAAGAGAGGGAAAAGAAAGAAAAAAGGAAGGAAGGAAGAGGGAAAGAAAAGAATGAGAGAGAAATAAAAAGAAAGGAAAGAAAGAAAAAGGGAAAGAGAAGGAAGGAAGAAAAGGAAAGAGGGAAAGAAGGAGGGAAGAAAGAAAGGAAAGAGAGAAAAGTGAGGGAAAAGAAAGAAAAGGAAAGAGGAAAAAGAAAGAAGGAAGGAAGGAAGGGGGAATGAAAAGTATTGTATGTATTGTTTTTATGTACTATTGTTTGTATCCCCCTCCCCATGAGTTGTGAGCCGCCCTGAGTCCCCTCAGGGAAAAGGGCGGCCTATAAATAAATTTTCAAATACTCAAAAGTATGAGAGAGAAATAGAAAGAAAGGAAAGAAAGAAAAAGGGAAAGAGAGAAGGAAGAAAAGGAAAGAGGGAAAGATCGAGGGAAGAAAGAAAGGAAAGAGAGAAAAGTGAGGGAAAAGAAAGAAAAGGAAAGAGGAAAAAGAAAGAAGGAAGGAAGGAAGGGGGAATGAAAAGTATTGTATGTATTGTTTTTATGTACTATTGTTTGTATCCCCCTCCCCATGAGTTGTGAGNTTAATTGCACAGTATATAAGTGATTGTATAAAATGAAAATGAAAATGAAATAAAACAGTTTTCAACGTGAACAATGGACTTTCAGTGTCTCCATTGTACTAGAGCCCTGAGGGAGAACCTATGGCACCTGTACTATGCAGAATTAAGTATAAAGTCTCTTTATTATATTTTGTTGTGGTTAAGCCTAATAGAAAGGTTTCCAGTCTATGTGATCTACTGTTATAGTTTCCAACCAGTTTTTGATTTTAACCCAGAATTTTTTGGCTGCCTCGCAAATGACATGTCTTCTTTGAACCCAGAGGACTAACATACAGTAATTGTAGGCTTGGATTTATGGGAGAAGACAGGCTGTGCCCATAGGAGACCTCTTTCCCTTCCACTTTTACAGGTGACAAAAACTCTACAAAGAAGCAAGTTGAAGCTATTGACGGGCTGAGTCAGCTCCAGTTTGTGTGGTGCTTCTGTGCAGCATGCAGAAACATTTATAAGGGTTTTCATATTTCATGAAGCCCATCAAGCAGGCAATGGGGAAAAATATTTTGGGGGAAAAACTGGATATCAGGAGGCTCCTGGGGCTGAGATATCTTGATCTGCGGTAGTTAGAGACTCTCTTATATCAGATGAAGCTGTAGGAGCAGCGAAAATTCTAGTTAGTCTTCCTCTAGGTGCAGATGCTGTGGTTGCAGTCAAACAACCTATTTAACCTAGCCACGAATTAATGTCTTAAATGGATTTAGGTAATAGACTATATCAGTGTTGGTGAACTTTTTTGTCACCGAGTGCCAAAATGGGAGCGCTTGTGTGCATGTGGGGGAGCACCATAAACTGGAAAAACAGCTCCCAAGTGTGCACACATGGGAACACTGGAAACCGAAGAGCAGCTCCCTGGCACGCATGCGCTGGGAAGCTGAGCTTCTGGTTTTTGGTGTGCGCATCTTCCAGTTTCTGGCATGCATGTGTGCACAAAGGCCAGCTGGCTGGCACACATGCACACAGCAGAAACTGGAAGCTCAGCTTTCTGGTGCGCGCATGTGTGCTAGGAAGATGCTTTTCTGGTTTCCGGAGCTTCTGTCTGCACAAAGAAGACCCGGAAGAGCAACGGGCAATGACTGGTGTGCCTGGAGAGATGGCTTGGCGTGCCACTTCAGGCACACGTGCCATAGGTTTGCCATCACGGGACTATATCATAAGCAACCTAGGTTAATCTGGGTTAACCCCAACCAAATTTAGCAACTTGTTCAAATGCCAGTTCGATTGGGATCAGCATCTGCGATTGTGGGAACTTTTTAAAAAAACTGTTTTTAGTACTTTTTATCTCCAGTTCGAGCATTTCACTCCTGGTGTTAACCTACCTTTGTGATTCCATTTAAATATAAATTCTACACCTGCACTTCTTTACAGACAAGTGCACATGTGCAAATCCCATGCAAAGCAATGCCCTCTTTGGGAATAGTGTTTTACTGCTTTTTCAGTCCTGTACAAGAAATGCCCGAGGTCAGAATGATGCCATGCCTGGTTGTCTCTGCATTGCTTTCTCTCAGTGGACAACAGGAATTGTGATCAAGTTCTGTGAGAAAATGCATCTGCCTTATGTGATTCTTATCCCTGTGGACACATGCTGTAAGGGTTCTGTTTATTGGTACGTCCTGGTCAGTTGAAATAATATGATGAGTTAGAACAGGGGTGAACAAACTGTNGGTCCCTTCCAACTCTGTTAATGTGTGTTTATTCATTTCTTTATTTATTCATGATTAATTTGAGCTCAGAGTTCTGTAAGGTGAGAATCACAAGGAAATGACAGTGTAGAATCTATAAGGCATCATATTGTCAAAAGCATCTATAGGAGAGGAGAACTCAAAGCAGGAAAATTCCCAGCTGTAAACTAAACTGCCATTTTTTCCCCAAGCAACTGACTCACAGAGTTTTCTTTAGCAAGAGTTATTTATTCCGATAAAAGGATAGAAATGCAGAATATCTAGAAATTGAAGTTTTTTCTTTTTAGATCCATTTTGGGGCATTTTGTTTCCAGATGCTTTTCTGTGATTTGAGGAAGAAACCACATCATTTTACTAATAGCAAGGAAGCTGACAACTGGGAGTTAAACAATGGTCTCTTTAGAACTGGCCATTCTAAAGCTTGGTTTAGAGTTGCCTGCAGTTACACGTAAGCATTGCTGCATCCCAACACTGCAAACGGGTTGTGGTGTACAGGCCAACCCATACATTTCCCAAGCCCCAAATGTGCATTGGGCAGAAGTGCTCGCCTGCATGCTGATTGGTTGATCCGATTTCCTGTTCTTTGTTTTGCTGCTTGAGCAAACAAACATTTGCAAATGTATAAATGCAACAGTTCTACAAGCATCTCCAAATGACAGTTACATGTTCCCTGGAATGCAGTGACAGAGAAGTCTGTTCCAGGCTTAAGAAAGAAAAGTTGTGAGCATGTGCACTCACATTTGCAAACTGATAGGGGAGGTAAGTGTATATCACCCCTGGATAACATGTAAGAATTTTGTGGCACTCAGTCAAAGAGAATGCAATGCACAAAACAACTTGGTGGTGTTTTTTTTTTCATTCTCTTGAACCAACCAACTCATGGCAGACCACGAGAAGCTTTTAAATTCCAGGATGCACCGTTTCCTCCTTTCATGAAAAGCTGGCAGAAATGGATTTAAACTCGGCAAGTTTAAATTATGGATTAGGAAGCCATATAAACGGTTTGCTCTAACCAGTGGGCTTGGTTGTTTATAGACTATGCGTCTTTCCCCCAACCCCCTGCAATTAGAAAACTGTTGGAATTCCAGAGATAGACAAATTTACAAAAGAAATAAAAGAAAAGGAAGAAACAGAATATTATGTGGGATGGAACAAGGGGTGCAAATGGCTAGAGGGCAGGTGTAAAGCTTAAGGAAAGACTAAATGAAGAAGGCACAGGAGTTAGAAATACACAATGTATAGGCAGAGATGAACAAACATGTATACATGGAAAGAAGGATTGTAAATTAAGGACTGTGTATAATATAGTATCACATGTATAGACAAAAAGAAACTGAAATAAGGGGGGGAGAAGTACATTTACAATGGATGTATACCGAGGTGGAAATGTTGTACAGAAAGAAATTGCAAAAATATTTTTTTCTTTTTGTCTTTTTTTTTTTAAAAACTGTTTAATAAAAAAAATAAATAAAAAAAGAAAACTGTTGGAATTCATTTGTACTCAACAACTTCTGAACTTCTAGCATCTCCTCCTCCTCGGTCAAGCCTGTTTTGCTTATTTTTTTTTTTTGCTGCTGGAGATAAATAATTTAAACAATTCTAGCACAAGAGTAAAGGTGACCTCCTCCTCCTCCTCCTC